TCTTGGTCGTATTCCCTTAAAGGAATCTATTCCTGATTCCAAGCCTTGGGCTCTACCCCGGGCCCAGGAGTCTGGCCCTAATAGGTAAGTATTTTGGGGTATGTAGCCTAGGCCTTTGGCCGTAGGGATTAACGTCACTGACAGCCGTCTAACGTCCCAGGGGCGACTCCCATAGCAATATGGTATTGTTGGTACTTAGTGCTCGCCATGGTTCTGGCTTGCACTCCCCTCAGCATGGTGGCGTGGGTATACCGTTCCCCATAGCGACCCCTAGAGGACGCAGTTCGAAGTTCCCATGAAAGGGAACGTCTCAGGTTACTTATGTAACCATGGTTCCCTGAGTAGGGAATGAGACACTGCGTCCTCTAGGTTTCTTGCCATGCTGCGGACGCAAGCTTCAGACGAAGAAGTGAATGATGTGTGCTCCCGGCACCTATTTATACTATAGTCGCACCGGTAGTGACGTCATGGCTGTCGCCGGCCAACGAGTTGGTGTTTTTTCAATGTATGCTTCAGACACGGGTCACGACGAGGCGTTCCCCATAGCGACCCCTAGAGGACGCAGTGTCTCGTTCCCTACTCAGGGAACCATGGTTACATAAGTAACCTGAGACGTTTTTGTCTGTGACCTCCTGACAAACCAGTCTTCTAGAAAAAGCTTTTATTCTGTGTGGAGCGGGTCGCCCCCTCATGGGCGCTGACAAATTGACATCACATGACTAGCCTTGTCAAACAGTTGACTGAGTTACTAATAATGAATGGTAGGCTACAACAATTTATTGTGATTTAATCTAAAAATGCCCCATAAATGAATGTGTGTTATGAAATAGAGAAAACGTAAACAAAAAAGCAACAAAAGATAAACAAACTGCTTGATTGAAGAAGCAGCATTTAAACAAACTTAATGCATCTAGTCCAAATCCACTGGTACTATTGGGACAAAAAAAGCCAGCTAAATACAGAAATGTATGTATAAAATGTATGTCTTATGACAGAATTAGAGTAGTATGCCAGTTTGTCATTTCAAATTAAGTCAAAACTTACTGAGAGCAGCTTTAAGAATTACAGGATACGTCTTCCATCAATTATTAAAATATGAAATAAACAAACAAAAACAAAATAATAAAAAGTGGAATGTTGTTAGAATGCTGTAGGCTGATTATAGAGGCCACATAATATTCGTATACCTCTACTATGATGTTTTACAAGTGGCATGAAGACAATGAATTATTCAAAATACTGTGTCTGGATCTTACAGTCCAGTAAACCCACTGCATGCTGTGACACAGTTTTTCTCACATGTATTCATACACAGACTTGTGTACAAATATTTGAACATGCAATACTTTAAGACATTATTACTGATTATTGATTTGCTGAATTGTAAGTTATCACATGGTAATAAATCTAGAGCAGGTTTGTAACTTTGTACGTGTACTCTTGCAACCCTGCTATGGTCTCTGCGTTTTATGATCCATACAGTAAGTGTGTGACGATTAGGTAAAGCTGAATGTGCTGCATTTGTGACTTGATTCTTCTGTGAACTTGTATTAATCTCCTAAGAAGGGTTAATACTTAAACAGCTAAAAACACAATAAATCATGTCAGATTCACCATATGAAATAAAACACTTGTCACTTTACTCATGTGTTGTGATGTGTTGTGTAAGATGAATAGTTTTATTATAAAAAGTGAAATTATTGTGTGAGCTTGGATGAACAGGAGGGAGTTAAAATGACTCAAAATAAGCCTTTTCTTTTGTCTTCCTCGATTTCTGCAACCAGTCACCCAGGCAAAAGCTCAAGGTGAGAGTTCAGGCACATCGAGTCCTGACTAATCAAAAATGGCAGCAGTACAAGGCTGAAATGAACGCATGTGCAATATCCGTGTTTCCGTCAGGAGTCTGGATTACCTTTCATTTGACACAGACCTGTGCATATTTACAGAACACATTCTCAAAACATAATTCATGGAAATAAACAATGTAGTTGTGTCTCCGCTTGTCAAACCCCTCCTTAAAAGCATTTCTCTGAAATCACAACATGATTCATGGTCTTTATGACTGACCCAGTATCAAATGACTATCTCAAAATAAATTCTGACCAATCCGTATCAAATTACGCAACCAGCACAGAGAAAGACAGTACATAAACTTGCTGTGAATTAACAACCAAGACATTAATCTCAGTGGTGTTACTGCTGCCACCTGGCTAAAGTGGAAGATGGCATCACAACAAACAATAGCTATAAAGAGAATTGGCAAACAGTGTTAGGCAAACTGAAAACGACCTATTAAGGGTATAACAACAGAAAGCCAGTGAGATAGGGATCTGGAGAGGAACAGAGCGAGTGAGGATGCCTGCAGTGGGTGGGGAGAGGAAACAAAAGCGCCATTTTGATGAGAGATATGTTTGATTAGACCACAGCTGTGGCCATTGAGAGAAACTGAAGGAATAATGAGGAAACCAATGCATTTATAACACAGCTGTTGTGTTAAGCATTTGTGTAAAAATTCAGGGATAAGGATTAAAGAAAAAAAATAGAACTTGTCGTATATGGCTCCTCAGATGGAAAAACTGTTGTTGAGTGAGTTAAATAAAATAAGAAATGTCATATTTTAATGCTTGTTTTGTTTTCTTTGAAATCGTCAAAAAAGTCATTTTAAGGCCCTTTGAAAATTTGCTGAGGCTCCCTGATTGAAAACTGCTTTGGGCAATTGAAACTTGATTTCTGACCATTTATAACATGTTTGTTGGCAGTCTAAAAAAAATATTATATCAATTGCATGCTGCTATATAGTTTTCAAAATTTGTTCCCTTGCATGGTTGGTAATCATCATTCCATGTTCCATGTATATGAGATACCAATAGATGGCAACAGTGGACTGTCTGACTGTGAAAGACCTTGAGTCAGTCCTGCCTGGTTTTAACAAAGAAGCTTTTGAGGAGGTTTCAGAGCTTTTGGCACACATTTCTGCTATCTAAAAAGTCATGTGATCAGCCTTTGCTGCTACAGACCATGTCAGGGATTTCTCATTAGGTAAAACAGAACAAATAATAGAGAAGAAACTTTGTTGAAAGTTCAGGTGACATCTGCAAATGGCACATTTTTAAAATCAAATATGTTCTGGATCAGGCTGTGTGTGTGTGTGTGTGTGTGTGTGTGTGTGTGTGTGTGTGTGTGT